GGCAGCTTTTGCTGTCGCACGGATGGGCTGGCTCGAACCGGGGTGGTATCACGACCTCACAGAATACCAGCGTGAAGTAGAGGTTTACCTCTGCGTTTCGCTTGGTGAGTGCAGGTGGCCGGAGGCCCTTTTTACTGGAAATGAGGCATTCCATCTTAGTCCTCACGGGTGACAACGCATCTGCATTTTGATTCGCAAACGAGGATAGATGTAGATGTCTATGGGCAGCAGCAACCACTTACTATCAGGTGGACTGTGTGCTCGTTTGTCACCCTTATCCTATAAAATAAAAAATAAAAAAATATTCTTAAAAATTCTTCATTTTATATCTTACGTTGCCACTACACGGTAAATTAGTTAATAGTGGACTTGAGATTTCTGATATAATAGAATATAATATTATGCAAAAGTAATCATATTGTGTATAGAGATTGAGTAAAGCTGCGTCGCAGAAATTAGTATCTAACTTATACGGCACTGCATCATCTGCTGATGGATATATGGAACTGTAAATCTCAAAAGACAAGGGTTCGACTTTCACCATGTTGCGAACAACTTCTATCCTAAATTTAAAAACAATATTAAACTTAGATTGAGTTTAAACTATGCTTTTTAGCACCAAAGAAAGCTAACAAAATATACGCTTTTCATAAGTCCCAATTTCCTCAGAAGTATTACTGTTAAAGAACAGGATGTCTTGTTATCACGCAAATTTATTTGGCGATTTCTGACTCCCACTTAATGGCGTTTATTAAATTCGGAAAGCAAACACAGTTTACGACCGATCGGTAAACTTTTTTTTCGCATGACAAGGATGAACAGTCCTTTGAAACTTTTACTTTTATCGATTACGTTTATTATTTTTCTATTATATTTATTCTTTCAGCGATCACATTTTATCCCAAGGCATCAAAGTCATACCGTCCGGGCTTATACTAATGATTAATTAGATTTACGAGAATACTACGCACTGAATAAATAGATTTTATTATTTTGGATTTTATTTTATATTTTTTAACTACTTATTGAGCGTGTACATACAGCTACAGGGAGACTGAGATATTTAATATTCTGAAGTCCCAGTTAGCTCAGGATACCTTCATCTTTTAATTTTTGATCAAAAAAAGTAAACTACGTACACAAAGATACATTATAACAATATCCCTCGGTGGCAGCGTCGACTCCGATACAGACCCGGAGTCACTTAACTGATCTGCGTATTGTATGAGGGCAAGGGGCCTGTGTTGGTAAACAAATCCGAAACAAACACAATGCCGTTCTTATTGTAAGTTTTAATTTTAAAAATAATTAAATAGCAATTATGTGATTAAAAATTACTTATATTTGATAAGGACTACATCGTCGCTAAATCAAAGTTGAGTAATGTACTTGCCATTGATGTTAATACCGTATCTTTTCCGGTCCAGTAGCTTGAAAACGTCTTCTAATTCAGCAGTGAATAGTTTTGGGGATATAACATCACCCAGTCTTACACCTCTCTGCAGTTGGATAGGTTTTGACTCTGATTCTGTACTCGGATAGCCGTATTACTGTACAAACACTTCAGCACTTTGATATACCGACAGTCTCAAAACGCGACGGAATTACAGGCTTTCTCATAGTCCACATACGCCAGAAATAGCTGCAAATTGTACTCCTCGGACTTCTGTATAATTTTCAGAAGGGTATGTATATGTGGTCTATAGTGCTAAAGCTTTTTCGGAAACAGGCTTGTTCGGGAGGCTGGAAGTCGTCGAGTCTGCGTTCGAGACTATTCGTAATGACTCTCGAAAACAGCACGTAGACGCGGCTCAGAAAGGAAATTGGAAGAAGAAGAAGAAGCCAAATTTAAATAAAGGAATAACTTTACTATGTTTCATTAAATCAGGAAACATACTAAATTCGTGACTAGTGACCTGAATCGAGAGAAGTATAGATTAGTACGGAATCGTTGCAACAATCTGTGTAGAAAAGCACAACGACGCCATATCCATAAACCAGTACAAGATCCTGACCCTGCTAGGGTCTGGAAATTTCTTAGTCTTTAGGGGTTGGGAAAATACGACAAAATTTTACTCACCATAACTTTGATCTCAATCAACTTAATTTGAATATCTCATCTTCGTCTTGCATTAACGATAAAGCAAAACACAATACTTCGAATTCTCTTTCAAAATCTCTCGCTCCAGACATCTCTGCTTTTAATTTTAGTCTATTTAACAGTTGTGATGTTATGAGAGCCATAATGTTCATCCATTCAAATTCAATTGGTAGTGACTGCATCAGTCGGAATATGGTCATCCCTCTCATTGATGTCCTTTTACCTGTCATCACGTCCATCCCGAATAATTCATTGAATTCTTCTTTTTTCCCTTCAGTTTGGAAATATGCATTTGTAATACCTCTCCCGAAAAAGTCGAATCCGTCTAGTTTTTCTGATTATAGACCTATCTCTATCTTGCCTTTCCTTTTCAAAGTTCTTGAACGCTTTGTGCACAATCAATTCTCTTAAAACATGATCGTTTAAATCCTTTGCAATCCGGTTTTCGTCTTGGCCATAGTACGACTACTACACTTTTACAAATCACTGATAATATTGGGTATGGTATGGAGAAACAAAAGTTTACCATTCTTACGTTACTTGATTTTAGTAATGCATTTAATACAGTAGATTTTGATATCTTGTTGGGCATGCTGCGCTTTCTCAACATATCTCCAACTGTAATTGACTGGTTTCGAAGTAACTTCTTTGATCGCCACAGCGCATTCAGGTGCAAGATGTTTTTTCCACCTGGACTACTACAACGGCTGGTGTACCACAAGGTGGCGTGTTGTCTGCTCTCCTGTTTGCAATTTTTTTCAAATTTTGACCCATTCGTGCTACAACTATACTAATAATAGCTGCACCACGTAGTTCTACCACGTATGAATAAATAGCATATGCTTAAGTAATCAATTCTTTTTTTTTATAGGATAAGGGTGACAAACGAGCACACAGTCCACCTGATGGTAAGTGGTTGCTGCGGCCCATAGATATCTACATCTATCCTCGTTTGCGAATCAAAATGCAGATGCGTTGCCACCCGTGAGGACTAAGATGGAATGCCTCATTTCCAGTAAAATGGGCCTCCGGCCACCTGCACTCACCAAGCGAAACGCAGAGGTAAACCTCTACTTCACGCTGGTATTCTGTGAGGTCGTGGTACCACCCCGGTTCGAGCCGGCCCATCCGTGCGACAGCATAAGCTGCCGCGTGGCTCTACCACTGTTCGATGCTGCCAATACCGAAATTACAAGAGAGTCAATCGTTTTGGATGGAATTATATACAAAAGAAGATACCAATTTATTATTGTAAATAACACAAAGATTTTATGAAAATCTAAACGGAATCAAGAAATCTGAAATAAAAAGTGTTGTTTTGATATTTATGATCATGTCATTGGTTCAGATAAAGATAATGTAATATTAAAAAAAAATTGTAGTGGAGATATGCTCTGATAGACTCTGATAGATAACTCTGAATAAACTCGACTCGAGTTAACGTTAGTTGAAATTCACGTAACTCGGATAGTAATAGAATTACGCAACTCGAATTAGCGGAAAAAAGCTGTGTCAGTTTGTTACAAATTATTTTTATATTTGTTCTTCCATCCAAAATAATTACTATTATTACTTTGCTTAATATGTTTTTTTTTCGTTTAAAAAAACGTTACCCCCACACTAGGATTCTTTCCTGTGTCGTGGAGGCAGTTTACAAACATAAATTGCACAAGGACAAACATCCAGACCCGGAACAATTATTTGTAGGCCATACAAATACTTGTTCCGTGCGGGATTCAAACCCGCGGCCCCCAGCACAACAACTGATTGCTAAGCCACTGCGCCACGGAGCCGTCATTATTGCTTTTCGTATAGACAATCTTCATAAAATAATATCACTCTAACTTAATGACGTAGCGTAAAGTTAAATGTTATTATTAATTTAACTGTCACGAATTATACTTATTTATTTATTTATTTAGAAAACCAACAGCGTGTATAGAAAATATTAACATTAATGTAACAAACTAAAAGTATGGCCAATAACAGGTTTCCCTTATATTGTTTGATGGTAGGTGTATTGTTGTTAGAAGAAAAGGAAAAAGAACAATCTAATAGATAAATTGTTCGCGCAAAACTCTGTTGTCGGAATCGACAACAGATGTCACTCGGCTCGGCGCGATTCCGGTCTGAAGTTCTTCCGAGCGTGGCAGTGGCGCGCGGGTCACAAGCGCGTCAATAGTCGTCTTTAATCGGTGCTGACGTGAGCACGCGGTCCATTCTGTTAGGGAACTCGGAATAATTCGGCGCGGCCAGTAAATATACGGTCTATCATTGTGACGCGCATTCCTACTGGTGAGCTTCCCGGGACTTATTGTGTCTGACTCAAAACCTGCATAAGTGCATTCGGCAATATTAGATAGTGCGGCCTCTGATTCTAGAATTAACTATTGCTACGCGAAACGGTAGTGACCTTTGACCCTTTAACTCCGTGTGCGTTTGTGCGGTAACCATTATACTCAGCGATAGTTAGTGGCATTTGTAAGTTAGTAAATCGTACGATAGAGTTAATTGACTGTCAACGTGACGAAAGAAGAAAGTGACTGTGGACAACCTCGAAAGGCGCCCTCAAGTTGGAGCGGTGTCGACGCTCGGGCTGCTGCCGACGGCCAAGGTCTAGGTTCAATAACCATCAGTCACACCCAGCTACACACCACATCACCATTCTTTCCCTTGCACTACACAACCACATGCGACCTGACCGACTCCGGAGGGACCAGTCGCCTTGAATAGGTAAGTAAGCTTCATCCATATTCCTTCCGGTCGACTAGCCGTAGTATAACAGTCGCAATTTTACTACCGGTTAGTGCAGTCGCTTCATAATGACGTGACGGCTCTAATGCCGAACTTACAGTATTTTTGTAGCGTAAGCATACCTACTGCGCAAAAATAACTCGAAATGGCGTGTCAACCTAAACGTTCCGAAACCGTCGTAATCCACGAGTTGCTGGCCTTTGTTCAACAAAAATTGGACGTCATGGACCAGGTGTCTCTGGAGCAGATACTGATGACAAGCTTCACCGAGGACGAGATCATCCAAGCGAAGAAGGTGTTAGCAGATTTAGCCGTGACCCAAATCCGTCTTATCACACGTCACAGGGATGGACGCGGTAAGAAAGACCTGCAAGATATCTTCAGGCTGTTCAATGAGACCGACCCTGATGACATCCCAACTTTCGTCGCGCGTGATCTCAACAAGCTGCCTCCCGTGACGTTCGATCACGTAGACGTCACCAGATTGTTGAAAGACATCACCACGTTGAGAGCCGATATTACCGACATCCGTTCCAAATTTGAGGAATCAGAACGAGCCGCAACAGAGCTGAGGAACGAAGTCAATATGTTGCGCAACATAATTGCAACATTTGCAAATTCACCGCCGTCGCAGAATGTGAATACGACACGCGGTAACCGTAATAGTAGTCATATTTCACCGATGATTGCGACTCCGTCACGCGATACCGTCTGTCAGCGGGTTGATGACCGAGAAACCAGGGCGACCTCGGTCGTCATTGCATCACCATCTCAACCCTTGACTGAACCCATTGGTACTCCTCCGCCGAAGCCAACCTCAAAACAAGGGAAGACGTTTGCGGATGTTGCCCGAAAATCTTTACAACCGGCACCCTCTTGTGGTCGAAAGCGGAAGAATGTGGAAATAAAATCAGTTCCAGTGGTGACCCAAGACAAGATTGATAAGGACGGGTTTACTCTTGTTGAGAAGAGACGTCGGTCGCGACCCGTCTGTAACCAGCGTAGGACCGCGAAAATAAACGCGAGTACAACTCTGCGTGTTGTGGAGCCAACCATACAACTCTACATCTCCCGTTTGGACAAAAGTACGTCGGAAGAAGACGTCCTGCGCTTCGTGGAAGAACGAAGCCGATGCCGCATTGAGGATCCGATCTCTTTACATTTGCAGCGTCTGGAGTCTAATAGGTCAACAAACTTCAAATCCTACGTGCTCCAGGTTCCTGCAAAACATAAAGAGACATTCCTCGCTCCCGATTTCTGGCCCTCTGGGGTAGTGTTTCGCCGATACAGGGACGCGCCAAAGAAAAAAGTTCCCTAAATAGTGTTAAGTTATGTCTATATTTTATATATATTTTTAGGTTAAGGTATATATTGCTATGGGCCAATGTTCTTAATTTTTAAGTCCTTGATGCCTGAAATAAAGTTATTGTATTGTATTGTATTGTATTGTATAACGCTCCGCCATATATTTTAGTGTAATTAGAGAGATTCCACGTAGAATAGAATAGAATAGAATGATTTTTATTCAATATGGATTATTACATAATACTTATTGAAAGTCATTATTTTATTTACCACTGGTTCGGAAAATACCTCTGTCCTGGGAAGAACCAGCAAGAAACCCAGCGGGACTTTTTTTTTTAAACATAATTTCACTTAACAATAATTTTGATTATACAATTTTAAATGAATTTTCATAGAACCAGCATGGTGGCGATCACCTTATTCCCAGGGGTTATTTTCACTCATGTATTCCTTGATATTATAATAACCCTTTTTGTACAGTTTTTCTTTAATAAAACTTTTAAACTTGTTTATTGACAAACTTTGAACATGTTCTGGGATTCTGTTGTAAAAGCGTATACATTGCCCCATAAATGAATTACTAATTCTGTGGAGTCTTGTAAGTGGCATTACAAGCTTATGTTTGTTCCTAGTGTTTAAGGTATGAACATCCTTATTCTTATTAAAGCTATTTATGTTTTTATGTACATACATTACATTTTCATAAATATATTGCGATGCCAAAGTTAATATGTTTATTTCTTTAAATTTTTCTCTAAGGGACTCTTTACAATTTAGATTATAAATCGCCCGTACGGCTCTCTTTTGCAAACAAATATAGCTTCAATATCAGTCGCATTACCCCATAGCAAAATTCCATAAGACATTACGCTATGAAAGTAACTAAAATACACTAACCTAGCTGTCTCAACATCTGTGAGACTTCTAATCTTTCTTACAGCATATGCTGCAGAACTAAGTCTGCTTGCTAATTTAGATATATGGGGGCCCCATTGAAGTTTCGCGTCAATAGTAATACCGAGAAAAACAGTGGTATCCACAAGACTCAACTCCTCCCCATTTAAGAGCACATTGGTTTTCGAATGTTTTACATTAGGTATTGTAAATTTAATACATTTTGTCTTATTGCCGTTTATGAGCAAATTGTTGGCGTTAAACCAATGTACTAGTTTCGATAGAGCATTATTTACATCGTCATATTTAATTGACTGTCGTTTCAGTTTGAAAATTAAAGAGGTATCGTCAGCAAATAATACTATATCGTGATTGTCCCCTACAAGATAAGGTAAGTCATTAATATAGATTAAGAACAGGAATGGGCCAAGAATCGAGCCCTGAGGAACGCCCATTGATACTACCGATCCGGAGGAACATTTACCATTAATGACGACTTTTTGAGTTCTGTTACTTAAATATGAAGTAATAAGTTTAAGCGCCAAATTTTTTACACCGTAATGTTGTAGTTTCCTGATTAATGTATCATGATGAACACAATCGAAAGCCTTGGAAAGGTCACAGAAAATACCTAAGGCATCTTGTGAATTCTCCCAGGCATTAAAAATATATTTCATAAGCTCAACACCGGCGTCAGACGTCGAGCGACCCCTTGTAAAACCAAATTGATTTTTATGAAGTAATTTATTTGTATTAAAAAAAATTAACAATTGATCCAAAATTATTTTTTCAAAAATTTTACTGAGAGTTGGTAGTACAGAAATAGGTCTATAATTAGCGGGGTCCAATGTACTACCAGATTTAAATAAAGGTATTACTTTACTATACTTCATTAAATCAGGAAACACACCAGAATCGATACAAGTTTTAAAAATAATAGCAAGATGAGGTGCAATTAAATCTATTATGGACGTAATCACTGTAACGGAAATCCCCCACAAATCTGCGGTTTTCTTTACATCAATGGTTTTGAAGTATTTTACAATATTATGCGGTAATATTTTTCAAATCTAAATTCTTTTAAACAGGTATTAACATTCTGTTTAAGTAATGATTCGGCGACAGTTGGAGAAGCATTCAATGACTCTGTTGTCAAGATAGGAACATCAGTGAAATATTTCTCAAAAACGTGGCCTTAGGAGGCCCGACCTACGTCTGTTCGGAGGTCTTCAGCTCATGGGCCCCTGAAGATTGGATCCTTTAAGGGAGCAGCCGTAGGCCGTAACAATTTGGTAGCAGAGCGCGATTCCGGGTTCGATTCCCGGTCGATCCCGACTATAGTGTTTGATAAACATTAAACAATTTTGGTGGCAGGGAGCGTTGGTTTGATTGGTTTAATTTGTATCTACAATCACGCCCGTCCGTAATACGTAAAAATATTTTTTGTACGTAATAATAGAATTATTTCCCTAAGTTGTTTGTTGCTTGCCTTTGTTTTGGTTAGTAGGTAGATTTGAAAAGCCGCGCCCTAGGTTGCGCAAGCGGGAGTTTTCTAGAGATATACGTCATGTAGGTAGATGGTTATTTTTACGTAATCGGTTAATTATCGTTGTCGGATAGTTGTAGTGGATTACTTATCGAAGAGTCGATTTCCGAGCTAGGCATTTTTTGTTGATCGACCGTGATGTGTATCTTCGTTTATACTGTAAGTTGTATTTGAACTAAAGAGTAGTAATTTGTATTTGCGCCATTTGAATTTAACTTGATTTGATCGCACTAGTATTTGTTATTTGTCAATTTGATTTGTGTCTTTTCTTTTGTGCTAACTTGTATTTGGTTGATACGTAGTAATTCGTATTTGTGTAATTTCTATTCAACGCGATTTGATAGGAACTGCATTTATTAACTGTTAATTTTTTGTTGTATTTTTTATTTGTTATCTTTGTAAACTGTGCTCAAGCCGCGTCGTAATTTGCCTTTAATAGTGATGACATCGCCCAAGCTACTGATCCGTTGTTTGCGGACTGAGCTACGCTGGGCCACAAGCGCCCATGCTTTGATAGGTCGACCGGATAGTGTCCATAACTTGATGAAGCGGTTCGAGCAGGTGGATGCTCGAAGGGCCGCAGTGGAGGAGGCTTACGCTGAGCTCGAGGATTCGGATGTGGAGAAGGGAGTCCTGGACTCCTGCTTCGCGGACTATGAGCAGTTCTTGTGGCTCACGGACGAGTTGATCGAGGCTGAAGGCAGGTATGCCGAGGAGGCGCGTGAAGCTCGGATGAGTAACCTGTCCGAGTCCTCTCTGAAACAGCTTCAGCCGGAGCTGTTGGGACGACTCCCAACTCTGGACCTGCCAAAGTTCTCCGGGGTCCTTTCCGAATGGCTGACCTTCGTTGGTCTTTTCGACAGCCTAGTGGACGCCCGGAGTGACTTGACCCCGAGCCAAAAGATGGCGTACCTCCTGGCCTCACTGGAGGGGGAGGCCCTGGGCGTCGTCGGCCACTTGAAATTGTCGGACGACGCCTACCAGACTGCTCGGGACCTCCTAGCCAGAAGATACGCCAACGCCTGGCGAATTGCAGACGAGCATGTTAAGCAGCTTCTAAGCCTCCCGCTGCTTAGTGACCGGGCCAGACTGCGTCCGGACCTGTTGGATCCAGTCTTGGTGGCCTGTAATACGTTGAGGCGGCTGGGTTTACCAGTGGGCGAATGGGCTTTTTTGTTGCTCCGCATAGTGCTGTCCCGTCTACCTCTCGACCTTCGAATCCATTTTGAGGAGAGGTACGGCGGGGACGAGGCCTCCTATATTCCGCCCTTCTATGACCTGCTGCGGTTTTTGGATGAGCAGTGCCGGCAGATAGAGAGCGCGGCGGGCACCGTTGACGACTTACGAGCCGTGCCCAGTGAGAGGCTGAATCCTCCAGGCAAGTCGTCGTCAATCCCCCCCTGCTCCTATTGTCGAGCATCTGATCATCGGGTAACGTCGTGCCCGAAATTATTAGGTAAGCCGGTTTCGGCTAGGCGAACTATCGCCAAGGAGCGCCGCTGGTGCTGGTTTTTTTTTTTTTTTTATAGGATAAGGGTGACAAACGAGCACACAGTCCACCTGATGGTAAGTGGTTGCTGCGGCCCATAGACATCTACATCTATCCTCTGTTACAAATCAAAATGTAGATGCGTTGTCACCCGTGAGGACTAAGATGGAATGCCTCATTTCCAGTAAAAAGGGCCTCCGGCCACCTGCACTCACCAAGCGAAACGCAGAGGTAAACTTCTACTTCACGCTGGTTTTCTGTAAGGTCGTGGTACTACCCCGGTTCGAGCCAGCCCATCCGTGCGACAGCAAAAGCTGCCGCGTGGCTCTACCACTGTTAATTCATGGTCATGTCTGGGAGGGCACCTCCAGCAAGACTGTCCGCATCGACGGCCCTGTCTGCATTGCCAGGGCAATCATCATGCCGTTTTGTGCCTGAGTGCGAACGGCGTCTCCTCTCGGGGCTCTGCCAGGCCCTCGACCCCCACGGGCGGGGGCGCTCAGCCACGCCCTCTGCCGGGCGACTCTCGGCGCCCGCCGGCCAGCCATCAGGCCCCTAAGTTTGAAAGGGGCCCCTCCCCCGACCAGTTGGGGGGTAATTCCCCCAGGGGCGGGGGTGTCATCACCCCCGCCCCCTCATCGCCGCCCTCAGCGTGTGGAGAGGAACTTCACGGCCACTCATCGGTCCGCTGGACCCTTCTCACTTCCGTTAGCTGAGTGGCCGCGACTGGTGTACCACTGTTCCCCATTTGATGGAGGCGGCCCTGTCTAGCTGCCGCCTTAGCTCCCACCACGGCCGCCTCCACTGAGCCTTAAGCCGTCAACAGTCCACTTGTCAAAATGTTCTGTTGCCGACGGCCTCAGTGAAAGCGTACAACCCGAGTTGCAACTGTTAAAGGTTGTGCTCTATTTATCTCGGGTTCACGCCATGTGGCCTCCCCTTGGTGGTGGGAAGATTAGGGCCCCCCTGGAGCGTTGAATCACGCTGTCAAGGGGTATTAGATTTGGTTTGGTCGAGCACTTAGTTAAAAAATACTTTGAATTAAAATTAAAAAAATGCTTTGAGCTTTCCGCGAAATTTTCCTATTTGTAGCGGTTTAAATTAAAAGGATTGAATTTAATCTACTCTTTTAAATGCTACTGCATGTGTTTTGTACATATATTTAATCACTGTATTTGATCGTTGCGTCTGTTTGCTGAAAGGAAATTGAATGGCGCACTATTTGAAAAATTATGTTTATGTTTATGATAGTGTTTAATCATTTTGCTTTGCGAAGAAGTAGGGCTGTCCCTTACGTTATTGTTTTGTTTAATTTGCAAGTTGACCTATGCGCATCGGTTATTAATTTGGTTGAATTAATTCTGTAGTTGAACATTGATGCTTTTGAAAAATTTGTTGAAATATGAGCATAGGACTACTTGTCTAACAGGCTAGCTAGTTTTGTAGATTATCAGATTGAAATCAGCTGCTGCACTATTTTAGTAAATGATAATATGGTGGGTGGCCTGGCTAGGCCTACTTGTTGAAAATTCATACTAGGGACTATCTGTGCGTTTCGTTTGGCTCTCCACAGACGACGTTCATGTGGAATTTGTGGGTGCGCTCTGCACTGAAGCAACTGCTGGCACAAAATTTGTCTGGGCAGCTTCGTGTAGCGTCGCTGTTTGCAGAGCTGATCCGGTCGGATTGCGGAACTAGTCATAGGGGCACAGATAGGTGTTTGAAAGAGGTCGTCGGACTTCTGTCCAGTACAGGACTTATTAAAGTGCTGCGATGCCCAGGAGGGGCATCCAGTGGAGGCTGACCCTCCGGCTTGCCACATTAGGGATATCTTTGAGGCGTTGATTATGGTTGCAAGACCTAATGGATTGCCTAAGGTGGCCCAGTTTGGTTGTAGATTCGGTCTTGCAACTTGCAGTCTCGACCTTGTCC